AAAAAAAAAAGATACTTGTACACAGTATCAGAATTTAGATCAGAAAGCAGAAGTCTCCTGAACTGGGTCTCTGCTGGGAACAGAGATTTTTCTGACTTTTTGGCTGACCTTTCACCTCTCTCTGCATATCCCCAAACCAGGAAGGAGTTTCGAGTACCAGTGGGGGGCATGGTATGCGTATATTAGTGAGCAGGTGAATTCAGGAATACAGAAACTGTGAGTAATGAGTCTGCTGTGCACACATGGTAGGAAAACTCCTCAGGCAACTAAACAATTAGTAATAATTAGTGCCACACAAAGTTTTATTAACTAAGTCTTGTTACAAAAGCAAAGTTCATTAGATGTGATATCTGATAAGGCTGGCTTGAACAAAAGCAAAGGATATTTAATTAAAAAAATTTTTTAGATGTCTACCCCCACCCCGGGCAGTGGGGGCACACATGCCTTGGGAGGAAGAGGCAGGCAGATCTCTGTGAGTTCAAGACCAACCTGGTCTACGAAGTGAATTTCAGGGCTGCCAGAGTTATTATACAGAAAATATCCTGTCTCCAAAAAAAAAAAAAAAAAAAAGGAAAAAGTCTTCTCCTATTCAAAGCAGTGACGTCATAAAGCCATATACAGTGCCTCTTCAGATACCAAGTGCCTAACAAATCTGTGAGAAACCCTACACCTTCCACCAATGGGAAGCACGCCAGACCTGACCACAGGCATGTATTATTTGTTTCACTTTGAGCAGATGACCTAGCTCTCATGCATCAGATTCTGAAGACAACACACCGCTGTTCACAAAGGCTGTGAACAATTTATTCTAAATAACACTCTTAAACCCTGAAGGTCATCCTCAGGGGAAAAGCCTCTCGTGGTGACAGCTGAATTCAAAGCAGGTTTGGCTGTCTAGAGATGGAGGCCTCCGGATGCTGCACAGGTACACCTAACACTTCCAAAATGCACCTGACCTCCTGCAAGAGCTGTGGTCATCTATCATCTGTCACCCAGCTGTTTATTTAATTTCAGAGATTACTGCTTGTCCCATGAGTGCTGTTTGCTTGGGAGATTCCAGCGATCAAAAGACAGGCTCCCTGACACCCCAGCCGACACACGTCCTTAGAAACTCCTCCTGTCTGCCGCCCACCACGACAGCATCTGCTACCCCGGCTGCACCTCTCCGGGTCTGACTTCACTTACTTTCCAGCTCACTGATGAGCTGATTGTTGTGTAACTTGACGGCACGGTGCTGCTCCACCTGATCTTCCAATTCAAATATGGTTTCTTTCATGTCTTTGATTTCTGCGTCACTCTCTGAAGCTTTCTCTTGTAATTTTAGGCTGGTCCTGCTCAGTTGTTCTGCTTGATGATCACAGACCTCCTTCAGGTAAGAGTAATCTTTTTCCATCTAGAGAACAAGGAACATTGTCAGTTTAACAACGGCAACAACAACAACAACAACAACAACAAACATTCATATATCTCCAGGAAGACTTGCTGGATGCACTGGCATATGCCACTTCTTGTTGTTCTTCAGTCTACAAATGTTAAGAGAGAGACAATGTGTCCAGAGGGCTGGGTTCTGTGCCCCTTTTTACAAGCAGGTGGGGAAAAATGTACTCCTATCATATGTGACTCGTTCTTCCCCTATCAGGGCAGAACAGGGAATCAAGAAAACCTGAGAGGACACCCTAACCTCACATTCGCTATAGAGCAGCGCCCTCTGCTGGTGAGATTCAATGTCCTGGACGCCTGAGCCAGAGATAAACCTCAACCTTAGAACACCAGGTTACGTTTCTTTGGAAGACACCCTACATAAAAATCTGGGTGCACTAGAAACAGAAAGTCATTCAAGCACATTAATTGCATCTGTTTAACTTTAATTAACACACTTAGATGGCAAAAACAACAATGCACAGACAACAAATTTTGCCATATTTGCTAAATCTTTTAATTCAATAAAACATGTTAATGCCGCAACCTTTTCTTCTATTTCAGCAAGTAACAGGCATTGTTGTAAAGTTAGTGCATGGTCATTCCTTGAAGGCTTTCCCACACTTATTACATTGTGTTTAAGCCCTTGATAATATATAGACTCATTCTAGGTATTTTGAAACTTTACACAACTGGTTGTATATGTGTGTTGACTTGCAGTATGTAATTTGCCTTTGTCTTTGTCTTGTACTAGACAATGTTTATTATGCTATTTTAATTTTAAATGTTAGTATATGTAGATTGATACACACTACAACAGGTTACTTATGTGTGGCCTGTGCATTTTCACATGTATGTGGGCACATGTATGAGTGTATGTATACAAGCTTGCATACATGTTTAAAGGTCAGATTTGACATCAGTATCTTCCTTGACCACTCTCTACCATCGATACTGAGGTAAGATCTCTCCTTGAACCCAGAGCTAGTTAATTCAGCTAGCCTAGCTAGCTGGTTTGCTCTGGGGAGTCCCTGTCTCTACATCCTGAGTACTGAGATTAGGCAGGCTACCATGCCTGCCCCATATTTTACCTGGGTGTCAGGGATCCAAATTCTAGTCCTCATACCTCCATAGAAAGGGTTTTATCATCTACTAAGCCATCGCCCCAGCTGTCACTAGATTATTTTAATTATTACATACTGGAAATCCACTGCCATTCTGTTATTATAAAAAAATGCTACAATAAACACTGTCCTTTTTCTGTCACAATTTGACATTAGTAATAGGCATATATTTACTGGACAATATAAGCTTGATATGTAATAGATTTTTTCCTGTTTTTAAAGTCTGGCGTGCAGTCTTCACATCCACTTTTTTCCAATTGCAGTTCTGGCTGGGGACTCTATAGGAACAGGGACCTGGTCTACTTTATCTACCACAGCACACAGCAAACTTGGAGTCTTGCAGGCTCATGGCTAGACTCCTCAGGCAGAGGCATGTCACCTGGAGCACAGATATACACATGTGACTAGTGGGAAATACTATGAGTGTAATATTTCTGGGGAACATGAATGAGGTCTCTGAGTGCAGCTGAGAGTGCTGATTTTCAGAGATTTTGGTTTTCTTTCCCATACACTGATTCATCATGATCATGGGCACCAAAGAGCAGCATGCATGTGGAGGGAACAGAAGTGCAGACTGTGGTCAATCTACAAATCAATACTGTTGCAAAAGCAGTCACTTCTTCTTGATATAAAAGATATCCTCCAAGTCTAATGAAATAGTCAGAAAACTTTGTTGTTTTTGTTTGATTTTAGAGTTTTGGTTGTTTTTTGTTTGTTATTTATTTAGAGATAGGGTCTCGTCTTCATAGCTACATAGTCCTGGATGTCCTGGAGCTCACTATTTTGACCAGGTGGGCCTCAAACTTGCAGAGAGCCACCTGCCTCTGCCTCCTGAATGCAGGGATTAAAGGCGTGCACTACATGCCCAGGCAAAAAAACTTTGCTTTTTTTAAAAAGTAATTTTACCATTTCATCTCATAAGGACACTCACTAGATCAAAAGAAGAGGTTAATTATGTTCATTTTATAGATTAACAAATATATATAGGGAAATTAGTAAAAAAGAAGAATATGGGCTGGCGAGATGGTTCAGCAGTTAAGAGCACATAAGAGATAGTTCAGCTGTTATGAACACATACAGTTCTTCCAAAGGACCTCAGTGACTCCCAGAACCCACAATGGGAGGTAACTCCAGCTCCAAGGAATCTGATGTCCTCTTCTGGTCTCCACAGGCACATTCACATAAGTGGAACGTCCAAACTCACAGGCACGCAAACAAACTATTTTAGAAAATTCAGCATGCCTAGCAGCAGAGAACAAAGCTCTGTATTTTTATGACCACTGGGGTCATAAAAAAGATGCCTCTTTTTGTGATACTGGCTTCCTGCTGCCCGGCAATGCAAACTTTTGAATTTAGTTTTTCTAATTTGGGAATTACACTATCAGATAGAAACCACTTCCAAGCACTCCAAGCATCTTTCATCTCCAGTCAGATTCAAACAAACAGATTACCTCAGAGAGAGGACATCAAGAGTCCGTCCTGATTCACCAACAATGACCAAACCCGGGAAGCAGCCTAGTCAGCTGTGATCAGACCAGGCTAGAATCCTAGGACGTGTCACCACCCCCTCCACTGCCCCCTTGTGACAGTGAACTGGGGAAAAGCACGGCTACAGGCCAGTTTCCTTGCAAGTACCTGGAGAAAGGCACGTGCACACAGCAAAGTTTTTGAGGCGTGCTCCCGATGCTCACTGTGGGAAAGACATGGAGGCAGGACTGGCAGAAGTGGCTGTCTCACAAGGGCATCCACTGACCCCTCAGGAAGAGGGCTACACCCAGCATTCCCTTTGTTCTGCCTCAGCTGCAAAGGCCGTGGTCTTTATTTTCTCAGTGGATTAGCCGTGAGAAGCACCACCCAGGGAGGGCCATCTTGGAAGGGGCTCCAGTTGGGTGCTGTCAGCTGCCATATTGATCCCCAACAGCTGGAGAAAAAGAGTACTTTGGTAGCGGGAGTCCTGGGTGCAGATGTTAGAGGGTTATATTGCCATAAACATTATCTGGAGTCTTTCCTGCAGGAGATGTGTGACTAACTGGCTGTGACGGCTTTAGCACTGGGTGAGTGGACTACATGGAATAATGCTTTCTGTAAGGTGAATCTGTAGTCTTTAGTTTATTACGTGAAAAACAGCACAAAGGACATCAAGATGGAGATCAACTATGAACCAAGGCCTTATCATCACACAAACTACCCCCAAGACAGAGAATGCTGAATAAACTGAATAAGAAAACAGATGTATAGCCAATACAACAATATCACCAATGCATAAGGAAGCAGAAGCCCGGGACATTAAAAGTAAAAACACGATGTGAGGTGAAAACGGTGTCTGAACATTTTAGTTTACAGCCTTGTTTAATAGTTTCTGATGGCAAAGAGAGCATCTTGAAAAATCAGGCCCGGCCTTTGAGAAACCATTTTATCTTCTACTCAAATAGTCATACACCAGGAACAAAGACCAGGGTGGGCATAGAGCTAGGTTACTGCCATAAATTCTGGATGAATTCTAGCAACATTGAATTTGTTCATCCAGGAAGGAACACAGGGAGTGGTGCTGCGCAGAGGAGAAGCCTGGCGTGTGAAACCCCTGCTTCTGTTGTCAAGACAGCAGCGTGGAGGCTTTGTTTCCACAGGGCTGGGGATGAACCCAGGGCCTTGTGCATGCCAGGCCAATACCCTACCACTGTGTAACATGTCCAGCCAGAGTTGGTCATTTTACTAGATTTGGTTATTATGCTGTCCCTTAAATAATTTTGAATACTAAAAAATTAATAATGGTGATCAGTCAAAGATGTTAAGATTCCTCTCTACTCTTTTCTCTTCTTTAAAAATTATTTTATGTGCATGAATATTTTGGCTTTATGTGTTTCTACACATCACGAACATGCCTGGTGCCTGCAGAGATCAAAAAAGGGTATCAGGTCTCCTGGAACTGAAGTTACAGACAGCTGTAAGGACCATGTGGGTGCTGGGAACTGAACTCAGGTCTTCTGGAAGAGCAGCCAGCACTCCTAACTGCTGAGCCTTTGCGCTAGTTCTTACCTTCCTTTTCAATGGTGCCTCCTCCCAACAGAGTTAGACGTTATAAACCTACGAATGTGATGTGGGAGTGATTTCTTATTAATAAAGAAACTGCCTAGGCCCATTTGATAGGCCAACCCTTAGGTAGGCTGAGAAAACAGAACAGAATGCTGGGAGAAAGAAGCTGAGTCAGGGAGTCGCCATGATTCTCACTCCCGACACAGCTACACGTTAAGATCTTCCCTGGTAAGCCACACCTCGTGGGCTACACAGATTATTAGAAATGGATTAGGTCAATGTGTAAGAGCTAGCCAATAAGAGGCTGGAACTAATGGGCCGGGCAGTGTTTAAAAGAATACAGTTTCCCTGTAATTATTTCGGGGCATAAGCTAGCCATGCGGATGGCCGGGTGCCGGGGACACAGCCCCGCCGCTCGTATTTCAACACGAATGTGCATCAGGACATTATCATTACACACATTTTTACTGCTTATAGAGGGAAGGAGGGGCGAAGGAGGTCATGACCTAGGAGGCACGTGGCCTAGAAGCTGAGCAGTCATCGATGTCATGTCAGTGACCGTACCACAGGAGTTGAGCAAAGCCTTGGTGAGCAGGTCTGAATGTTGTTCCTGCTCCCAGGAACTCTCCTCACGCTTCCCTGGATTCTGTGTCCTCTCAGGAAACAGCATAACCACGCTTCCAGCCACCCAGGCCTGGATCTGCGCAGGGAATGAAATGCCTCTTTCTGCAATCCCCAATAACAAGTCAGTACTCACCAAACCCTACTATGTCAAACTCCTAATCTAAGTGGCTCTCCATTCCCTGCCCTCCTATTC